CCCAGTAGTTGGGCACATTTGTCCTGCTATGCAATCCACCCGCCACCTGTCTTCACTAGGTCTAATCCCCCCAGTTCACACCCCTCATTTGTGCATTTTGAATTTCAAATTTTCAAAATCTTCACCTGCTCATATTTGTGCCTTTGAAAGCCCTCATCAATGTCACATTATCATTTGAATTTTGAGATTACCTCTTTATTTCTTCTTTTATAATAACTTCTATCAATTTTGTCTTAAATTCTAATCTCGATTTGTTTACATATGTATAAATCAAGAGGTTCATCACTTACCTATTAAAATAAAAATATCTTAAATTTAAGTTACATTTTTTCTTTCCCCATGGAAAGTTGAAATCATTTGTAATCTACTTAGAAAAAAAATTTTCTTATCTCATTTTTTTATACATATGGTTTAAGTTTGGATATTAGATAAAAGAATTAATAGATAAGTTTGAAGATAATTTTTATCTAATCACTTAAAATTAGTAATTTACAATAAGTGAATGAAGTCTTTTTATATTTAATTCAATTATTTTTAATTCAATTATTTTTATTATTTTCTTAATATAAGATTTTACTATTTATCATTTACAAACAAAATGCTATAGGTTTAGTTTCAAGTCCAAGAGCAAGACATGGTGGTAAGGGGAATATGGTACATTTATTTATTTTTTATTTTCTTTTTTTTTTTACAAATTAAATCAAATGATTATCAAAATATCATAGAACAAAGGGGATGGAAATGTCAAAATCAAATTAACCTATCAATCGAAACGTGCATATGAACATGATGTGCTGCTTTGATACATCTCATGCTGATTTTTTTTTTTTTTTGAATATTTTGACTTGATATGTATTTGAAACACATTCAGAAAAAAAATATATGCACCTATTCAATAAATAATGTTATTGAATCTCTAAGATCAAATAAGTGATTCTGATATTGTTTTGTGATAAAGTGTAGATATGTAAATGAAAGCGGCAGATACTGTAATGTTTTTCTTTTTTGTAAATATTTCTGATCAAAACGGCAATTGCCAAATGTCACAACTTAATGTGTTGCGTCCTCCTTTAAAACTACGTTGGTTGCCATTCATTTATCTTTAGTTAAATATGGTCACAGATGGTTACAAATGTTTGATACCTGTCCCTAACAAGCATAAAAACAGGGCATTCAAGAGAATACCTGTAAAACAAATATTTCATACATTATTATTATTATTATTATTATTATTATTATTATTATTTTCTTAACTTTTTTGAAAGCCAAAGACTTATGTCCAATCCTACACCACTAGCAGTTCCAACCTTTCTTTTGTTGACTTATAATCATCGATTAAGAACTTTACTAATAGCTTTTGTTGAAAGTAAATAATTTAGTGATATTTTTTTCATTAAAAATTAAAAATTTTGAGTTCAAGTTATATGACATGCAGGTAGAATCAAATAAGAGATGGAGAAAGTTACCTCATGTTTGTACAATCAATCATAAAAATAAAAAAAAAATTAAAAAGCTTAAAAAATGACAAACATACATTTCTTTAAAGAAAGAAATTTTTACTAAATCAAATAAACTCGTGCTAATTTTATATAAATTGCAAACATAATGATAATTGTAAAATTAAGCTATTATAAAGTTTTAAGTCGAACAAAATATTGATCTAGTAGTTAAGGAGATAGGTTAAGTTCTTAAAAAGGTTCCAAATTTTTAGATGTCAAACATGAAAATTGTTAATCATCTCTGTCGGCTAAACTCACTATCTTATTAAAAACCCAAATTTGTTTTTGCCAATTGGAAGGAGGAATGTCTACAACTAACACAGCAATCAAGCCAAGATAAGCTATTGCCCTTGTCTTAAGCATCAAATTACAGCTGCCTATGATATGATACGGATTAGAGTGGTGGTGGTGGTGGTGGTGGTGGTGGTTCCCACTTTATGATTTCTCTCGCTGCTTTTTTTCTTCTTCGCTTTGTAAGTGTAGCAGCACATTCTCAGTCTTCAATTACTGGTTTAATCAGCGCACTTTATGGGCACTAATTAAAGGCACAGCCGCACAGACAAAATCATTATGACACATCTCCATGATTTATAATTGGTATCATTGTCACTTGGTTTCCCTCTACCTTGCGTAACATGCTAAAATCATCTAAAATGAGATTTTCCATTTTAATATTTAGGTGCCGCAAGCTATGAACTTGGACAAACCTTGTAAGTTTGTTCATCCTTATCTTTTGAGTTTTAACAAGATTTAAACTTAAAAGTATTATAAATACTAGATGTGGGCAAATAATTAGTTAATTGAATGGTTTATCAAAAAACTGATTAAAAAATAACTACATAGTAAGATGTAATTGGTTGTTAGCTCTTTTTTTCTTTTTTTTTGGATTTTGGTTATAACTCAAAAAAATTTGATTAGTTACTGGTTAGAAGGTTTGAAAATTAAAAATCAAAAATATAATTGAAAAATAAATTATTTTTATTAATAAATAAATAATTATTATTTAAATATTGTAAATAAATATAAAAATAATCCTATTCAATATCATTTTACAAATTTTATTATAATTAAGAATTTAAATTTAAAATATATCTAAAAGTTTAAAAAAGAATTCAAAATTCTTGTGTGAGTCACTCTCATTTATTTACTTTTTTTTAAATCAAAACTAAATTTAAAATAACTAAAAGTTTGAATAACTTAACCAAAAAAAAAACTATGACTGTTTCGATACTTGCTATGATCTTTAAAAATTTTAATTAATTAAATATAAGCTTCAATTAAAACCGAAATTGACCCTTAATACAAACTACCTTAATTTCTTTTATTTGTCACAACCCAACGTCCAAACAATAAGCATTTATTCACGAATAAGCACCCATCCCACTGAAAAAGTTATAGAGTTAATGGAACTATTACTTGACTATTTTATTTTTTAAACAAATTACAAATTGAGAAGATGAATCGAACTCTAATATGAAAACTAAGAATATATCTTATAAAAAAACATATAATCATTGGAACAGAAAACTCAGGTGGTATACTATTTATTAGTCGACCATTTAAGATCCCATGCCACAGCAAAGCACGAGATTGTATAAACAGAAACAGTCGGCCAGTCCGGACGCAGCCTTTTCCACTACGCCAACACGGCAACACTCCAATTGCCTTGGCTTACTCCTCGATAAAGACTGCCAGCTAAGCTGGGTATCATGAGATACCCGTGATCGGAGCTGTAATTATATCATTTTCCACCCTGTTGCATATGATGGAATCTGAATCTTGATGACGTGGCACTGCCACAGATTCAGCAGATTAACCGCCAAATGTCCTTACCTTATCCCTTCCGGTTTTTAATGCCGGTCCCTGTCCAACTTTCACGGCGTTTAACCTCCGAAGTCCGAAGGACATGAAAACAAACGGAAAAAGAATTGGAGCAGTTATAACGACGTTAAGCTCCCGGACTTAAAACCCGCTATCCATTCGGGTTAATTTTAATTTCCCGCCAAAAGCGGAAATATGTAGAATAAAAAAAAGAAAGAAAGAAAAAATAATAAATAAAATAAAATTAGAGAAGAAAGAAAGTGAAAAACGAAGGAGAGGAGGTGGGTGGTAGGGCCCAGAACCCTTACCTGCCGAAAAAGACAGCACCGTTAGTCAAAAGGGCGGGATTCAGATTTCAGACCCCTGCGCTTTTTGTAAATTTTAAAAAATAATACTAAAATAAAACTTATGGCAGAGAATAGTTCTGATTTTTTTTTTTAATTTAAAAAATAATAAAATCTCAAAATAATATTTTTTGTTAATTCTGTTTTCATTTTATCTCTTCAAAACAATGGCAGCATCGACACACTAGAGAGCTTAGAACAAAAAAAATGTACAAATTATTCTCAATATTTTTAAATTAAAATAAATCAATATTTAATAAAAAAATTAAAATAAATTATTATTTTAAAATTTTATATTTTAAAAAATAGAGACAATACATACTATAACTCGTGTCTCTATTAAAAAAAAAAGTTCCATTTCAACAAAATTGTTCCAAACTAATAGTTAATGTTGAATTTTTATTATTTATCTTGATTGTATTATAAGAAATAATTATTTTTTATTTTACTCCACTTACATGTTACGTAATTTCAATTTATAATTTTGGATTCTTAATAAAATAAAATAATTATTAAATTACTTAAATCGTTAATGATGTTGAATTTTTATTAAACTTAAAGAACAATGTGAACTAATAAATTTAGATAAATATTTTAAAAGAAAATTTTAAATTACCAATTCCCTTAACTTATTGTTTTAATATTAATATGCTTTAATTAAAAAATATTAAGAGGCATTTTACACCTTCTGCCAAACAATAAAACGATGTATTTTTAATAAGAGGAACCAACATAATTTGACTTTGGAAGTTTGAAGTGATATTTTAATTCGCTTAACAAAAAAGATAAGGGCAGTGGGGACTGGGGGAACACAAAGAGACGATGGAGTGAAATTGCTTCAGACAGAAAATTCAACAATCAGGCAACATTGCTTCAAGTTCCCGCAAAATCTTTTGAATTTCCCGCCAAAGAGGGGGAGAAAGGCCCACCAAAATCAACCGTCACTTTCATAAATGGAACTGTCATTGGGAAGAAGGTATTTTTCATTCGTCATTGAGCCCAAGCTCCTAAGCTTTGGAAATAAATTAAATTAAATGTCCTGTTGTCCTTTATTTCTTTTAAATAAAAATGTAAAATTTTATAATATTAAAATTATCTGTTTATCATTATCCTCGATAAAAACCCACAGCTTCACAACTCAAAGTCAACATTAAGGGAAGGAGAGCAAAGCACTTCACACTAGCTTCTCGTTTTTTCAACGCCTACTACAGAGTACAGGCCCAACAAAGATGAAATTCTTTTCCGACTAGAAGATGGTCAAATATCATGTGCCAAAAAAAATGAGTCGAATTCAACCCAATTTCAACTCATCAAATGATGACTACGGTTTTTCATTTTATTTTATTTTTTAATTTTCTCCATAGAAGGACTTTTATATAATCTTTCTCGGTTGGTTTCATAGGAGAGGCTAAGGTAGGCTTGAAAATTTGACGGGAACAGATGGATCATGGCACATTCATACTTTCGGCTGTTAATTTTGGACCTATTTCTAAAGTAATGTAGTGGGTGTTTGATTAAGTTTAAAATAATTAAGTAATTATCTCATTTTATTAAAAATAAGAGATAGCATAACATGCGAGTTAAGTCAAGTAAGGTAAGATAAGTGATAGAAGATTATTGTTTGTTATTGTATAATTAAAATTAAAAAAACAAAAAAAAATTATTTGGAAGTAAATTTTTTTAATAAAATTTTAAATTTGTGAGAAGAAATTTTATTACTTTTAAATTAAATGTTATATATATATTTTAAAATAATTTAGTTATAAGGTCGGCTCGAATCACTGCCCTTAAAGAGAATGATATGAACCTTATAAAAGTAACTAAAACCACTTAACCATATAATTAGGTTGAAATTAAATGTTTTATTGAGGTTTGTTATGTTATGGGCTTTTTTATTATTCCTTCTTTCTCTCTTTTGTCTTTAGTTTGGGTGAACTGTGGTTCTTGTGATTCGAAATTTGAACGCAACGGTCAGGATTATTTTACTTGACCCCCCCGCCGATTTCCGTTGAACTAAAGGGGAAGGTTCTATTTTTATTTTTTTTCATAGAAAACATCAATGCTTTTTCCTTTTTAATTTTTTTGGCCTATGCTTTTCCTTTCTTGATGACAGTAATTTGATCGAATTAGGCCCATCCTAGATCAGTTGATAGAATTTAAATTTCAAATTTCAAATTCTATGAATTAATAGTTCAAAATTTAGGATGCCAGGTTTATCCAAAATATATATATATATATATAGCACGCCAGTTTTACTACCATTTTTTTAATAAAGTAAAAAAGTAAACAAAATACAGTACTAGTATAAAAGTCAACTCAATTCTCGGTTAGGTCAAATATTAGTTGTAGGACAACTTCTTTCGATTTAGTGGTATGGATTTTGCGTTGAGATTGTTTATATTTTGTAGGTTATGTGTTTGAACTTTATGAATTCGATTTCTTCTTTTCTCGCTCAATTAATATATGTAATTAATTTTAATTTGATAAAAAAATTAAATAATTTTAATATAATTTTTAATTTTTTAAATATAAATTTTAAATAAAAATTTAATAATTTATATAAATAATAATTAAAATTTTTTATATAGCTTATTATGGACTATATAAAAAAGATATATTCTTTCCATATTCCCAAATCCCTTCCTCCATTCTCAAATTCTTCTTCTTGTCTAACTCAAGATTTGAACATTAAATCTTGAAATATTGAAATATTAAGTTCTTAATAGTTAAACCACTATGGGTTCATTAAAATCTTTTTTTTTAATGCATAGTTAGTGGTAAGTGTTTTTATTTGATTAAAAATTTGTAATTATTATTTGTATAATATTCTAAATTTTTATTTAAATTTTATATTTGTAAATTAAAAATTAAATTAAAAATACTAAATTTGAACAAATAAAATATGTCTTAATTCACAATAGAGATTAAGAGTTCTTTACAAATTTTATAGTGCTACTATTATTCAGTATTCTTTTTGTCAATTTTTTAAAAATTTTTTTAATCTTTTTTAAACAAATTTAAGTGTTTTACGATTCAAATTATTAAATGAAAAACGAGTTTTATGATATTGGAGGATATCTTTACCTACTAATTTTTATTTTATTATTTAATATAATTCAAATTAAAAAATAAAAAATCTCTTTTAGAGAAATAAATATTTTAAAGGAAGAAGTTTAATTACATGATGGGAGCTTAACAGAGGGGAGCTAAAGGGTATGGAATCCCACATTATTAATGGCACCTAATCTTGCCTTATTGAGTGAATCTTAAGCTTCTACTTCGTTATATTGTCCACAAATTGTTGCCTTCAACAACATGTCCTGGTACACTGTTATGCCGGTGGGATGGGCCGGATGGCCCTCCAAGGCTCCACCCGTATACCCATTACCCACAACCCGCCTAATTTCTTAATAAATATGCCCAAGAAGACTGGTGTTGTCCCTTTCCACCTGGATCCTAGTCGTTCTTTTGATCAACAGGGACCCACATAATAAATAGATCAGAACCATCCAATCTGATCACATCATGGCATCAAAGTCACATGGGGATGGCCTCTGCAAACTTTGTGTGCCTGTTTGGTATAACAAATCTTTTAATAAAAGTTTTGTTAAAAAAATTTATTATAGAAATATTATTTTTATAAATAAAAATTATGTATTAATTTTATTAAAATTTAAATAAAAAATTCTTATAAAAACATTAATTTAATATTTTTTTAGATTTATAATAAAATATTAACTTATAACAAATTATAATATTTAGTGTCACCTAAAATTTTTTAAGTCGAAAATAAATTCACACCAATTGTACCTGGCCTTAGTATCCTAAATTTTCAAAGTTAAGTACTGTGGGGGTGGGGCCTCACTGTCACATGCATAGGATACCATTGGATTATAGATTTTGAGATCACTATTAAGATTCTTGTTAAATCTTTGGGAGGGGTCACATGGACATGGGCAATATCAAGAAAATGTTGTGGGTCAATAGTCGAATTATTGGAATTAATGAAACCCCCTTATCTTTTTATGCAAAATTTGCCTCCTAGTCCTAGGAATTTGATGGAAACATCTAAACTTCCACTCTTTATATCTTCTCCCTTACGACAAGATAACGCTTCATGAATGCTCTTCAATGAAAATGTTGTTTTGAGTTCATTGCACCTATTTTTCTAAGAATTCCTTTTAACTTATCCGTTTAGATCACATATTAAAAGAATATTAGTTGTATTTTTAATAATAAATTTTTATAAAAAAATATAAAAATAAATTTTATTTTTAATATCGTTAATAATTTTAATTAAGTAATTAATAAATTTAAAATTAATTATAAAATAGTAAAATTAATACACCCTTAGAAAAAACTCTTCTTTTAATGTTTAATTACAAATTTTCATATTGAAAATAAATATAATGTTTTTGATTTTAGGATGAAAAGGATTGAATTAAAAGCACAATTTGTTCATGTCACGTGGACGAGAATTACAACTTACTGACTGCAATTCAGAAAAGACACAGCGAAAAAGATAGGGATGGTATACCACCGCCCAGTTGGGCAAATATTTAGATATCACAAATTCACAAAAAAACACATAAAAAAAAAAAAATTCCAACAAGAACAACAGATCCATTGTCTTAAGCACAGGAATGGGAATAATCAGATCCAGGATTTTGCCACCAGACTAGCATCCTGATTTGAGTTCTTCCCTGTTCAGGACAAATCTCACCAATATGCTTCTAGTTCCCCTTTTTCCTTTAAAGTTAACATTTCTTGCTTGATTGGAGATTTGGATAGCACTTCCACTGAATTTAGACCCTCCTCTATAAATATAAGGACCCTCCCCCCCTCCCCAAAAAAAAAAAAAAAAAAAAAAAAAAAAACAGAATGGTCCCACATCTAAAGACTGGACAGATATTAGTTTCCCGTCCCATGTCTCAATCTTATTAGAAGAGAACAGAGGCTATGTGGCTCCAAAATCCAAACAATGAGTGGGCATTTATTTAGAGTATTATAGTGCAATGTCCTGTAGTGATGGGCAACTAATCCCATTAGTGGATGCACATGCACATGCTTGATGCTTCCTTCCTTCCTTCCTTCCTTCCTTCTTTTTTGTACATTTTCCATGGCATGGCCATAAGTTAAAGATTTGATACAAAGTAGATAAGTCGAGTTTGGACATTGGAACCCAGCAAAATACAGTCATGTGTCAGGTTTTCCAAAGATGAGTTTTGGTAAGAAAATTGGAGCAACCTACGATCATTCTTCTAGGTCCTAGGTTCCTTCACAAACAGAAATCTCCGTTAACTTTCCATGACAAAAGATACTGAAATAAGTCTGGACTTACAGGGAGGATTAGGATGCGTAATCAATTTGACTAATGTATACTAGTAAACAATACCCTTATGGAAATGGGAATGAGCTGTGGGGAGTGTGAATGGAGGGACATGTCGCATTGTTCTGCGGGAAAGCGCAAAGATTGTCTCCTTGTTTTTGGAGAATCTCGGAAATGTAGTATTTTGTATTTAAATCAGTCTGATGTCTGAAACCCAACTTCGTCCTCCTTGTCTCTATAGCCACGGCGCCGCCACGACCGCCACCAGATTTTGTATTGCATTCATAACATAACATAATCCTTCTTTGCTGTAATTTTTATAGCTTAGATGCCCAGGATTGGCATGAAGACAAATGGTAATATACATAAAGACAATGTCCATATTTAATGTATAGTGTAGGTAAAGTAGCGTGGGGAAGGAACCCCGGATTAAGGAGCTTAAAACAATGCTTTAATTTAATGTGCTCATTACCACTATCATTTGCTGGTGATTCAGTCAACAAAGTTTATGCCATTTGTACGTACTCCTAACTTTAAAACTTTATTTTAGTCAGGAGGTAAAAAGTAAATCATCCAACTCTACATTGATTTAAGACTATAAAAGCTTCATGTCCAAAGCGTGCGTGAAAATTGGATCAGAAACACCTAACTATTAAGAAAAGAAAAAAGGTTAAGCAATTGATTGTACATTTACATACATAATGTACAAACATGCTTGTAATGAATGTTCTTTTACAACACAATGCATGTAATCATTAGTGAAAAACGAAACAATAGTGAGTAAAATTTGTGAAACTAAAATTTTCTTTAACAATGCATACCATACACACCAGTTTGAAATATGTGCAGCGAATGATTGTACCAGTAGCTGAACAATGTGGGAAACCCATGAGGAAGTTATACTGGATAGCTTTTCTGCTTGGTGCTTTCCTCAAGCGATATCTGCAAGTGGACATGTTAAGACATGTTAAGAACAAAAAAAGGATTAGCAAACGTGCAAATATATTCTTATCATCTCAATTCTAAAGCAAGTTTCAATTTCTCGTAATCATTGGTGTTTGCAAAAGAAATCTCAGAGTTTCGGTGCAAATTTGTTCAACCTTGACTCTGAAATATAAAACAACTATATTTGAGCAGTTAAAGGGCCACTTCTTGGGGTTTAAATGATAATTTATGCAAAGTATACAGGTAAGGTAAATTACCAGGAGGAGATCTTCATCAGTGCCAAAAGACTTGCGTGCTTCTTCGAGGCACTTTGATGAGATCCTGTCACGTTTCCTGTACATTTTCCAACCCAAAATTATGCTTCTATGGTTGGATGAATAAAACTTTATCATATAGACAAACTTAAGGGTTCCTTTGTTGATCCTTAAGAAAATATTTAACCATTCAAATGAAAACTGACTTGAAAGTTCAATCAAGCAACAATTGAAGGGAATGCAATAAAAAGCTGTTCAAAAACATTAGTAATACCCAGAACTTGCAGGATCTCTAATCTCAAACTCATCCTTGCCAGCATCATAGCCACATATCAGAATATAGTGACCTAAATAAGCCATGTATCTTGTCAGTATGAATTATAGTGGCACAAACTACAAAAAATATGGACATGCAACAGCAATATGTCTCAAGTTTGTCAGCCTCAGCTTATCAGGTAGAGTATTCAAAGGGAGGTGATTCCAAGACAGACAGGCAAGTCTGGATGATCTGTTATGAACTAAGATGAAGAACCAAGAAGGGTCTTGAAAAACCTGCACTACTTTATGCACAAGGATCTGAATTCTTGAAAAGCAGCTCATGGTGCATTAAGTTGTTCTTGCAGGAGACTCTTATTCACAGGATTTTGAGTTAAACTTGTGTTAACATGAGTCATTCCAGGTAAGAAAGGAAGTTAATGCTTCCATGGAATAAGGTTAAAGAATTAATTCCCTGGGTCATTCATTGAAATTCATTGAGGGATGCATTTGATCATGATATCCTTTTAAGTGAGAAGCCAGGAGTCCCATATATTTAAAAGCAATCCACAGCATAACATTCTCTAGGCCAGTAGTAATTTATCTACAAATGCATAATTTCTCTCTAAACAAATCATAGTGTTGATTATAGTCATAGAGGAAACTGATTATCAACTTGTCATTAGTATTCCAAGTGCCTAAGGATGGGTAGTTCTCCTTGTAGATGCTGAGAAATTCTGTTATTTGTTCAAATGGAGAAAAAAAATTCATGTAACACATGAAATACTGCAACTATTGAGATGAAGGCTTAGTTGAGTTGAATATACGAAGTTATGAACAACAAAATCCACAAACAGTAACATCTCACCAGTGTACTCTGTGTGACTGTCATGGAATCCTAAAACAGTAACATCTCCCAACCAAAAACGACTGCATGGAAAAATTATGAAAGAACAATTCAACAATGGGCTAGTTTCATCAATCAAGAAACCATTTTTGCATAGGAACACATACCTTAACTTATGCTGGTCAACTAAAGCAATAGCTATATATTTCCCTGATAACATCCATTGACAAATTTCCTTTCTGCCAATTGACCTGCACTGTAAAATGGACATGGTTCATCATCCGAGAAGATAGTTAAATTATATGAACAAAAAATTTTCTAATTTGGACATGCATGCAATCATGTGTGCTCTGTGTTAAAGAGAGAGACGCCAGTTTTCCCACATTGGCATGACAAAAGGGCCACATTTTTAGTCAAACCTATGGGAATAAGATAGTTCAACACTAAGCATCAGGATATGAGAAAAAGTAAACCAAATGTTTAACTTTTAACTATAGATATCATTCCATAAGATGAAAATCACTTAAATGTCCTAACTACCTTAAACAAACTTGTAGTGATCAGCATTGAAAAAGGAAAAATTCACCAATGTGAAATCCATTGAATAAAAGAACAGATGCCCCATTACCCCCTTGAATTTAGATGAATGGATCATAGCATCATACCTTTATACTGATTCCAGCTTCCACTGCCTTTTGGAATAGCATATCTATTCGCCCCAGATCATTAGGCAGCTGCTCCTGCAGTATATTTATGGCAAACACTCTGAGCTTTTTTTACCCCTTGATGCTATGAGCCTTAAGTTATAGCAGCAGGCAAAACTGACAAGTTGATAGTCTATAACTCTATAAGAAACAAAAGCATCATGGCAAGTCAATGAGAAACCACAATCTATGTTTATGATATAGTTGAAAGTGAAAGGGTGGAGGTAGGAGGTGAAATTTCCCAATGATAATCATATATGTTAAAATAGTGCTTGCAAATCAATTTACCATCTATATGAAAAAAACAATAATACAGATACAAAGTCATTAAGAAAAGGCACATTAGCAAGAAAAATCACCTTGTAAAATGTCTCAATAGAGTAATTTGGGTTTGCTCCAAAGGTTACCGTGAAATAGCAAAAACTAACAGAAAATTTCTGCAGTAAATATGCAAGGTCAACTGTCCAAATGCTGCAACCAAAATTTCAGCAACTATATTCATTAAAAACTGCTTGTATAGTCCTATGTTTGAATGAATGATGTGTGCATGAATAACAATGCCATGGAATCTACTCATTAAGTAATTAAAGCAAGAGAAGAAAATTTTACTTTTATTAGGAACAGTATACCTTGTTGTTGCACATAGTTCTGCTAAGTCCTGAATACTATAGTCGTTAATACCAATTGCTGTCAGAACCATCAACACACAAGCAAGTCCACAATCCCAAGAGAAGAGCTGCTTTATATGAGGAACCTATAACCACAAACTTAAAGTTAGATAAACAAAACAGAATTACATATTAAAAGATCAATAAATCAAAAAGTAGTCTCATTTGAATCCACTATACTAACATCCAATTGTAATGAAGCAAAATGCAGACTGCGAAACAAGACACAAACACAATCATAATGAACTCACCTCAACAAAATGCGAAGGCAACACCGCATTGCAACCTGTTCCGTCGTTTGATGATAGCTGAAAAGGGCAGCATTCTGCCACACTTATCTGATCTCCATTAGATTCAATGAATTTTTCTCTCCCTTCCTCTTCAATTTTAGGAATCTTATTTAACAGAAAATACAAAGGCCACATGAGCTACCAGATAAGCTACAGAATTCCAGTACACACCAAAACTCAGACACACACCATCAAGTAGTCCCACAACCAGCCTCTTTATGCCTTCAAAATACTACCTTCTTCAATCTTTCTTCTACACAAATAATAACAACATATAAAAAAAAAAAGCAACAAACTTTGTGCAGCAATCACTTATTTTTACACCATTAAGCTCATTTAGGCTAATGGGTAAGCCTCAGTTAGCTTGTTTTTATCATAAATCCATAGTTTTGAAGCTTGTTAAAACCCAAATACAGATTTCTAACACAGACAGATAACCTGAAAAGAAATTTAATGAATTCAGGGGAAAAGATTAACAATGGTAAGCGACACATTAATCATAATTTGCGATCCAAACCATGAATTCTAAGGTGCCCATGAGATAAAGTCAATACCTTTTGGGGTAAAACGCGAATGGGTTTGACGCAGAAGAAGAA